ACGTCTAACAACCATATGAGAAAACAACAGTCTCATACGGTATTTGTCGTAAAACAAACTAAACAAAAGTTTGAGTCTGCGGGTGATAGAAGTCACTGTAACATGTATGACACGGTCTCCCCTACAATGCTGTGTCTAATATGTACTTGGACTACTTTTACAACTCTTACTGTGTTTAAATACTTATAGCCCATTCAGAATAATGAACAGATAGGAAACTGGCACCCTTCCTCCATACATTCTTGATGAAGGACCCAATGACACTTGTTGCCGTGGCGGATACCAATGTATCAGGGGGCTGAATGTAGATGCTGTGCACACAGCTTCATCAGTGTTGGTTGGCTCACCTTTATCTAAATCAAAATATTCCCAAACGGGCAGAGGCGTTTTTCTTCTTCCCTAGTGCTGTCACACTCTCACCACCACTCGCAGGCGCCATCTTTCTCAGCTAAGCTGCCCACTCCACTAGTAGAGACTGACCTCTGGTGGCACACACTGTGCACTAAAATACATTACCTCAAAAGCATCTCTGTATTAGTTTCTTTTCATGGTACTGAGAAGCTTGGCCTTGGGATTACTAAATACTCTGGTACACAATAATAGCTTGATGCCACCCAGGTCTAGCCATTGCACTACAGTACAAATAGCAGGAGCCAAACCTACAGTGAAGAGCTCCTGTGGATTGTCTCTCACACTCAGTAGGCTGTATGTCGCTAAACCAATCAGCCCATTGTCAGGAGATCCAACAATTTTAACTCAATCTGGCACACACATGTTATTCATCCACCTCTGCCAATTTATGACCAGGTTGAGTAAATCTGAGATAATAATATAAACACTTCAAGCAACCATGACTAACCCCACTGTACAGTAAGATCTAATTTTAGCTGTTACATGAACTCTATTAGCCTAATCTTAAATAAACTGAGTGCTGTGTGCTGGGAAACAACATAACTGAAACTGTACCTGACACACAACAGGGCTCAGTATTATTATTATTAATTTTTTTTTGCAACGCTATTGTTGAGTGTGCGTATCAAATCAGGGTGATCTGGTTCTTTGCTCATCTACTGTAGCACCCCACGCTGTCCCCTAAATAAAAAGGATGGATTTCAAGCTATTGTCCACAACTTTGTGTCAACAAATAAATCGCTAACCGGAGGGTTGGGGCTAACGACAGATAGGAGTACTGACTGATGCTGAGGCAGAAGGTCTTTCTGGAACCTGAAGACGTGGACCCATTTATTTTCACTGTACACTGAGCCAACCCTTAGAATTAGGTCATATGCTCACCTCTGGCAGAAGTCAAGACTGCCGCTATAATTTAAGAACTGGTTAACCTTTTTCAAGACTGTGGATTGTTGTGAATCCTCCATATCATTATCAGCTTTTGTGGTAATATTAGCCCAACCTCATTTCCATTGTTCCTTGTGTCTTGTTTTACCCCTCTATGAGGCCAGTACCTGTTATTAGTTTTGGTTTTCTCCAGCTGCTCGTTCTGCCTGGCGTGCCACTCTTCCAGCTCCACCTTGGCTTTCTCCTTCCACTCTGACTCCTGCTTACGAGAGTTATCATCTGGGGAGGGAGAGGAGCAGAGCGATAAAGAAGTGAAGAGGCAGATGTGAACAACAGCGAAGAATGATATGAATGACGGGCAAGACACATTGGAGGAAAATTAGGAATAAGGAAGAACCAAGGATTACTGTATTTGGTTTAGCAGTGATTGTTAACGGGGGGGGGGGGGTTCTTTAACTCACATTTTACACACAGGGCAAATACTAAGAAAAAAGTCTTTCTAGTTTTGAATCACCAGCACTTCACACTTGGATATCAACCTTTACTTTTAAGATTTCAGAAAGCAGTAGTCTTTCCTGTCTTATAAAAAAATACTCTGGCCTGTGCTTACCTAGCAACTCCAGCCGCTCTCTTTGCTCCTCCCTCCACTTGCGTAGGCTTTCAGGTTCGGCCTGCAGCCGGTCTGCATTGGAGATTGCTGCATAGGCGTCTGATGGACCGTTGCTTTCCTGAGAAACAAAGGAGGTGGTCTTAGGCAGAGATAACTGTGTTACTTCATGAATGGAGATATAGTAAAGAAACATTCAGTTTGTCATCCTGAATTATTAATGTTCCCCACTATGGTCTGAAAGTTGCAAGTAAATTTGAAATTAGGTGTTGTAGCCAGTTTATAGGCCTGATTCGTGTATGCATGTAATATCTCTTCTCTTAAGTCAGCTGTATGTTAAAACCAAATTTGTCCAACTTCAGTTTAGCTTCTCTCACTGCCAGAAAGCCCTGACAGTGCAAAAGGCAGCAGTGCTGCAATGACAGCACAGGAAAAGGAAGTTGGACCGGATTGAGCAGCCAGATATTCAAGCCTTTACGGATAACACTGAAATCACAATGTTACAGTGCTAGGAAAAGAAGTGGTTTCCACACCACAAATAGTACCCACAAATATTTTTTTATGAGAAAGCTGCAGAATTGATGTATAAGACAAAAAATATATAGTTTTTGTATATTAACCACATCAGTTCACTTGTTAACTTTTTCACATGGCAATATTAAGGTTTTTAATCACTGCAAAGATTGTGGAAACAAATGAACCTTTAGCAGCATGGTTTAGCCATTTACCAAAACAATAACATCAGAGTACTGACAACATTCATATGCAGAGCTGGCAGAGACAAAAACACACAGGTCTTAAGAGGCTGCAAGCAAAAGCTCTACTTTAGAGATCAAAAGATCAAAGATGTTTGGTTTGGGCACTGTGACGTGTGTACATTTGCACTAATAGCTTCTCCAAGCTCCCTTATTCACATACAGAATACAGAGGAACAAACATGAGGACATGAGAATTGTGCCATTTCACAATTTAAATGAACAAAAACAAGGTGAAGAACTATTACCACATGAAGCTCTCCATTGACAGCACCATCTACAAAGATACAAGGAAAACAGCTGTTAGAAATCAAGCAGACAAACAACACCACAAACATGATTAAATACATTTGGGAAGAAAACAACAAACACTCTCTAACGATCAGATCATGGCTCACTGGAAATCTTTTATTTTTCTGTTGAATCCTCAAGATTTCCATACACACACACATTTCATAATATACCATGTCAGCACTTCTAACCAACTACTATTGCTAAACCACAACGGAGCAACAGCTCCAAGGAACTGAGGAAGTCGTGGCCAAAGGTCATTAAACCCCATCAGTTTCCTCTTGTGGCTGTAAGAGTAGCTGGCAAACACCGCTGTAGCAACATGTCGCAGGAGCTTCATGGGAAGCAATGAATGACACGGCCCAGGACGGTACAGCCGATGTTATCAGTTTCATTCATTGTAGAAAGGCTAGCTAAAGCTTAGGTAGTCATGTGACAAACACTGACTTATCATTCACAGTTTCCCTCTACGTGTCCGTGTGTCACTTTTAGAGACGGTTGAACAGGTTAACGCTAGCTAAGAAAACCTGGCTAATATGCTAGCTCAGCTAACGTTAGCAAGCTCACTAATATAGCATCGACTACGGTGTCCAGTTAGGAACCGACTGAAGGTTTCACCGGAGCAGTTTAACATTTAACAACACACACAAACCCCCCCACCCCGTTAAGATCAGCGCTAACCACACACACGGTGTTAACAGCGGACGGAGGCCAACAGCAGTCACCCACCGACAGAGTCTCCCAGCGACGAGGGGACCTCTCCACTGTCCAGGATGCTGAAGCCTTCGTCGTTTTCAATCCCCGCGATTTCGCTCTCCTGCTGGGCCAAGAACGCGGCGGCGGGGTCCTCCTCCGAGCCGACACCGTTACCAGCGGCGGGCGCGTTCAGCATGTCAAAATCATCCATGTTGTTTGTGTTTGCGGGAGGATAGCGGTGAGAAACGGCGAGCAGGTGTAGCGGCTGACCGAAACCGATTAGCTCAACGGGAAGAAGGACGAGGAAAAAAAAACGCAAAAAGCTAGCGAAGCGGAAACGGATGAATGACCAATCACAGGCCAGGACGGGTGATTAATAGTACAGAGCACCAATCACAGGACAGCTGCTTCAAAACGGGACCAATCAAATCTGTAGACCCTCCTGCATACGGGTCCCATGACCTGCTACGTGCTGTCAGAGCTGTGAGGAAAAAAAAGATCCGCAGTATGCGATTAGGTGACACATTAATACATTGTTAGGCCCGTATTGTATTAGTATATGGATATTATGCTATTAGTCTCTAAAAATGCATAAGACAAAAACCCATGAATATAAACTTTTATTTAGATGGATTTTTCTTCTTTTATAAGTCCAAGGATACTAAGTAGATATGCATTTTGTTTTCTTGGCTCAGTTCTACTATTTCAGTGCTGCGGGTTTTTCTTAATTTTGGTCTCATTATAGAAACTTGTTCCACTATGCTTCAGTCTTCCACATGCCATCTGTCAACCACCACCAGTTTCTGGCTTTCTCTTCACCACTCTACTATAAAGCTGGTGAAGCACCCTGGCAACATTTTTAGCTTCCAGCCCAAACATAATGTCATCATGGTGGTTAATTATTAACAGCTCTGACAGCCTCAAAGGGCTCAGGTGACAAGCAGGCAGTCACCTGACTAAAGGTATGCAGCAGGATAAATATATTGGTTTTAAAATATCCTAACAATATCAGTGACTCACCAAACACTGTGAGGGATCAGGGCTGCATTATCTCAAAGCTACAATTTACCACAATTCAAAATCTAGAAGCTCTAGGATATTCCTCTGAGCTGAAAACCTGTGTTGCTGAAGATTAAGAACCACAAAGAACAAAAGTATACATCCAGCTGTCTTACTTTACAAAGGACATGAAAAACAAAGGTGTGTCTCACAAAGTACTTCAACATATCATATGACTTGGGCCTTAAATGTAGGACTTGACGATGACCTGGATCCTAATTTCCCTGCAATATGAACTGAGTTAACACTCAAGATAACTTATTGATGGGAATTAATGAATAAAAAAAGAAAAAAAAACCCCTCAGAATCTTTTTTTATTTTTGTAATCCAATCTTTTATGATTATAATTCAGGCATAAAAAAAATCATATCATTAAAATAATGGTGAGGAACATTTATTATAATATCAAATGGACTGGGTTGACAACAGACTGACTTTAAATTTAGCAGTAGGGACTATAGTGGAAGATTCAGATACTGCAATTTTGTTGTAGGTTCAACATAGAAGTCCCATTTACAGTCCTTTTTTCCATGAACATTGTTATGTGCTACTTCATTCAGTTTAAACATCCAGGAGGCATATATGATTGAACACTGAGAAATGTTGAAGTCACTGTTAAAAGTAAACTCTGTTATGGGAAAACTACTTTTGGTCTCTACAGAACATCCATATCCTCGCTTGACTTTTTGTGTATATCTAAAACAAAACTGTGTATATATTTGGACATAAACCAAAAAGAAATACAAAGAAATTAGCATGTAATGTACAATACAGTATGTAATAGTACATACAAACATATTTTATTAGATCAAATATGTCTTCGGAAGGCATGAAGAAAAACTGCTTCAAAATCAGTTCAAATCTTCATAAGGTCCGTGGTAATGACATGTAAAAAAAACATCTGATTCAGGAAAAAGATTCCCCCTCTGGCCCTCATAATATTGTAGCAGCTATTAGACTAAAGCAGTTGCTGTCTTAACATTGCATTATTGTCAACATAAGTCAATACAGCATATTGTTTTCACTATTTATGACCCCTAAAGCCTTCAGGACCACCAACTAAACAAACCATCATCTTAAAGCAGTGCCCCAAAATACCTTCAATAATTTAATTTATAACAAAACATGGAAATGTAACATTAACTTGCCAGTTACCTCACAGGCTGGAGAATTTGTATTTTTGTGGACACCACAAACAAAACTACCTTCATTGTAGCCATCAACAATTAATAAAACTAAACACATGATGGTTTGAATGCATTGTCTTTCACCCCAGCCTTCAAAATATATCCCCTAGATATGCTTATATATCTATCTGGGCAGCACAGGTACTACTTTAAGTTTGGCAGTCATCTTGTCGGTAGCAGTCCTAAGTAAATCAGGACTATGTCTTTCAATAAATCCTTCTGGTTGCATAGTCTAACACCATACTAGCTGCTCCAAGTAAAGCAGGTTCCTCCAACTCTGATGTGAGAACCTTGATGCTCTGGGCAGAGAAGAGCGCTCTCTCAGAGATGATACGCTGCACGGGGGCCTGGTAGTAAGAGGCCAGGACTCCAGACAGAATCACCAGCGTAGGGTTCACTATGTGGAGGATGTTAACAATACCCACACCTAGTGCTGTGGAGGCTGTGGAGAATGGAAGAAGACAGACAGCAGGTTATATAACCAGTTATGTAATTAAACGCAGTTTAGTTTGGGTTTGAAGTGTGTGCTTGCTTTGTGCACTGACCTTTGTTCAGAACAGCATCGGCTTTGGAGTTCCCCAGTCTTGCTGCGTTGATGAGGTGGCCAGCGGTGATTGGCTCTGAAAGCTTCATTTCCATCCCCTCCACCTTCAGCAGGTCCTCTGACAGACACATAAAGCACACAGGTCAGATGTATGTATGTAAATAATGAATGATGGTGTGAAGCCCTTTGAGATGTGGTAAAGAGTTACATTTAATTAATTTGTCATTACCACTTGGCCAGCTTTTCTCCATCCTGCTAGATTTTCAAGTTAAAGTCATAAATTCCAGACCACTGAAGACCACTTCAATAACAATCAGTCATTATCTACTCCTTGTTGTTTCAGTGAAGTCACTCACTTGGTGAGAGTCTGAAAACATTCAGGCTCTTCATTATGGTGATGCCTATGTCACCCATGCACATTATGTGAACATAACATTTTTGGGTGAACTATACCTTTATGAACATACATTATGTCATCAGGCAAACAAAACTTAAAGTTGTTTTCAGGGTTTACACACACCATGTTTTCAAAGAAACACCTTTCTCAGCTGCTCTCTGAATCTTATGGCTGTCATTGAAGCTTTATACAAAATAAAACAAACACTCACCGTCATGCAGCCTTTTGGCCTCTCTCTGCAGAGCCATGCCGGACGCGTAGGCCTCTATGCATCCTCTGCTGCCACACGAACACTCCGGGCCTTCTAATGAAACCATGATGTGCCCAAGCTCTGCAGCGCAGAAGGTAGTGCCATAGACCAACTCATTGTGATGGATAATCCCTCCTCCAATACCTACAAACAGACTCAAAGTATTTACATCCTCAGATTGTCGGTGTGTGAACCTCTCAGCTCAACAAAGTATGAAACTACAGTGGCTGCCATAAACTCGAAAGGCCCTCTCTACAGCCAGTGTTTGGTTTGTCTGTTCGGTACAGGCATATCAATCACTTTCAAATAAGGCGATTATGATCACAATTTTCTTCAATTCATGATACAGTTAAATTTTCAGACAGCGATTTGAATAGCGACAGAAAAGCACTGTGATAATCTACAATGATCTACCCATTATGTGAAACTGCACAAAAAGTTTAGTAGAAATTTTAAAAGATTTCCTTCTAAACCACAGCCTTTTTTTTTTTTTTTTTTTTAAATAACTTGGATTATGACAGTTTCATTAAATGTTATTACTTGCACCAACACTGGTAATACACTGATAATGAAGGACTATATGATTGTATGAAGGAAAATCCCAACTTCTCACCTGTTCCTGTGATGACAGTGACAAAGTTCTCCACTCCCTTGCCGTGGCCAAACTTCCTCTCAGCCAACGCAGCACAGTTGCCATCATTGTCGACCCAGACGGGTAGGTGCAGGGCATCGGAGATGGGCGTTCTCAAGTCCACTGAGGACCACTCCTGGATCAGCTTTGTTGAGTGTAGGACCACCCCCTCTTGTGGGTTTACACGTCCGCCTGTAGACACTCCTAAGATGAAAGGCGAGAGCTATTAGATGATGGCTCTATAACATCTTTGCTAGCATAATAACGGTACTTCATTACGGAATGTGACTGCTTTTCTTCATACCAACACCAAGTATTCTACAGTTGAGGCCGACTGCATCCCGCATGGCATCTACACACATCTTTAGTAAGAGCTGCATCCTGGCCTCGTAGGTCTTTGGATTGGGCTGAGTGTACTTCTTCACTATGTTACCCTGGACGGAGAGGGAGGTAGTTAAGGGGGGAGAGACAGAGAAGTGAAGTAGAAAGAAAAGTGAAGATGAATATTTTAGGCTCATAAAAATCCAGTGACTTCTACGTCAGAAGGACTACAAAGTCTATGCAGCCTACCCTCATGCAGACGATGGCCACTCTCAGGTTGGTCCCTCCAAGGTCAACAGCCAGGGCGCTCTGTGTCTCCAAGATGTGATCGATGTCCTGGGAGATGGAATCTTTCACCGGGGGGAAGCAGAAAGTCTTCTGGAGGGGCTCATCCAGGTCAATAGTACGTAAAAACTTGATAATACGAGGTACTGCGTTGCCATCACCGTAAATCTTAGAACTGAGGGGAAACAGAAATGTACCCGAGTATATCATTCATCTTCTTTTTAAAAACACATTTTAGGATCTGTACGGTGCAAACATGGATACATGGCTTCTAAGTAATAACAGGCCTCAATTCTGCACTTAAATTTAACATTTCCGTGATCGACTAGAGGCAGATCATCATTGTTACAAAGACCTCTGCAGGCTACAACAGTGTTACACTAATAATCACACCTCAATGGACATAACGGACAAAGTCTATTGGTGATCCATTATCACAAACAACTGTTTACCTTTATTTCAGACCAGAATACATCCTGTGTATTAGACAGAGGCTTTGATTTTTAAACACTTTTTTAAGGCTAATGAAGAAAATCTGCAAGACAGGTAGCCCATTTAGAAAAGTAATATAGCTGTCGTCTTTTAAGGAAGACTGGACACCTTTCATATCCTTATTATCTTTTATATTTAATTTCTTTAATGAAAGTTTTAGAGGCAAATATAGATGCCAACTTTATTGTGACAGTAATTACAGTAAATAATATCATAGTAATAAAGTCCAATAAGCAAAACCAGATGCAAAATTATTTCCTGTGTTCATTGTAGATTTATGTAACCTAAATCATATTCTGCTGTCTCTTAAATTGTCAAAATGTGGCAGAAAAAAATATGTTATACTAAAACACAGCAACTAAAACTTTTCTGGAAAACTGGGAGGACAAAGACCCAGTGAGATGGACAGGGAGAACACTGGTCATACCAGGGGTATCGCTTTCCAAACTGCAGCTCCAGAGCGTGGTAGATCTTATTCTGCGTGTCGGCATCTCTGACATGTAGAACATTTTCACCTGGCAGTGAGGGAAATGTCATTAGTTGTTAAGTGAATAAATCTGAGGCAGATTCTTCAAGTGGAGAAATCAAAAACAACTATGACAAAGGCAGCTCGTAAATATGATCTTGTTTTCTGTCCTACCTGTTTCTCTGCCAGTTTGCCTTGTTCCCAGGTTAATGACAGGCGTACCAAAGGCACCGGCTTCTCGTACCCCACAGCTGCTGTTTCCGATCATGCAGCCGGCGCGGCACACAAGCTGGATGAACTGCTCAAAGGGAATGTGCTTCACTGCCCGGAAGTTGGGGTGCTGCTCGATACCCTTCTTTCGCATCACACGCACCATCTCTTTACTTCCTGTTTACATAGTAGGGGAGGGTTCAAGTGACACAGATGCATTTATTCAATCAACTATACAACCATCTAAAGAATCCCAAAATGCCCCAACTCTTGTGATCCCAGTTTTACTTACTACTACTAACAAAACACTCACATATAGAGGACAACAGAGCCTGGAGAAACAGGAAGGAACTAAAGCAATTGTGAAACAAACCGGCATCAATGTTAGGGAAGAGGATGAGGGTCTTTTTGTTGAAGGAGAGCAGGGCATCCAACATCAGCTCATATATCTTAATGGACTTCTGGATGTCAGTGGTAACTGGGTGCTGCAAAGCCACTATGTAGTCATACTCCTGCACCTTGTCACCTGCAACATGAATAAAAAACACACAACATACAAATATACTCTGATGTCTCACATTATATTTCTGTCCCCTGACAGTATCTCCACGCACCCAGCCAGCTCTTGATAATATCCATGTAGTCCTCTCTGTGATGCGTTGACAGCAGCTTATCATATGAAGGGCAGCCAGCCAGCAGAATGCGAGAGTGGTCCTCACACATGGCGATGAGGTGCTGCTCTGCCATGCGTGTGCAGCACGCGTGGTAATGGGCCAGTTTACTGATGGCATGGCGGATTGAGTCATCGATTGTACCACTCACCTGGCAATAGCAGGACAGGAGAGAAGAGATGTTCGTGTATTTGTCATTTGGTAAAAAAAAAAATACTACAAAAAGTACTACAAAGTCTTGCACACCAGAAAGTCCTACGGACAGGGGAGTCAGGTGGGCAAGACTAAAGATGTTGGGCAATATGTGTTTGCTTCCATTGTTGTATTCTGTGCCACTTTAAAAAGGTTATTTAAAAAAGAAAAGGTATAACCACCTACACTGTATAAAGTACAATAGCAGACATACTCTGTAGTGCAACATAAAATAATACATGCTCGAGCCCTGCCTCCTCACCTCTCCTCCCTCCACGTGAAGTATTCTAATATTCATCAGTGCTGCGGCAGTTGCTAGAGCTAGCGCGTCGAAACGGTCACCGTGGATGACCAGGATGTCAGGGCGCAGCCTCTGTAGGACATCAGGGAGTTTCACAAGCGCCAGCCCAACACTCTCCACCATGGCTGCCTCATCCTCTCCTCTCACAATGGTGTGGAGCTTGGAGCCGATGTCAAAGTCATCCTGCTCGATCATACGAAAAGTGTTCCTGCAGAGTGGGACAGAATTAATTAATTAGTTAAGGGGAAATTTGAATGAAGGATAAATAGTTTCATAATGAATGCAAATCTGAACCCAAATAGACTGTGGTAGGCGAGTATGGATTATAGTGTGTTTATAATATCCATACACTAGCTCACTTTGGGACGTCTGCAACAAGCTTTTCTAGAAGCCGCTTTGCCTTACCCGTAATCATCAATGAGATGTGAGCCAAGCACCACGACTTCCAGGTCAAACTCTTCAGGGTGGGATTTGATACCAAACATGATGGGGGCCAGCTTGGAGTAGTCCGCTCTGTTGCAGGTTGCCACGCACACCCTCAACCTCTTCTCACACTACATAAAAAGGAGTAACCACCAAACATACACACAAACACACATTAGTTGAAACACAGAAACACAAAGTTAAAAGATAAAGATAATTATTAATATAATTATTTATTATTAAGATAATGTTACCATCTTCATGTATTTTCTCTGCTTCTCAACAGCTAGAAAATGATAATGTTCAACATAAACTCATCATATAGAATTAAAATCATACCAGATTCTGGTTTTCTGTCCTTTTCTTGTCCATCTTTCCTCGGCTCCTTTGTGTTCTTACAAAGTAAAGCTCCTAGAAAACAAGAACAAATAAGAGGGTGAGATCCAGTAATGAGTTTGTAAACCACAATATTAACCATTATTTACCCTAAATACCCTAACCCACCCACAGGTCATTCTCATTTGGGCCTTCCAAATATTCAGATGCTGCAGAAAAAAATACACAACGAAACTACACTAAAAATGTTTTGTATTTTACATAAAGAACACATGCTGACACATTTTTTCCAGATATATCGTCTGTAAATAGACACACTCATCCAACTATGTCTAACTGTAACTGGTGTTGAAGTTTTGAGTGATGAAGGCTTCCTCCATTCAAAAGAGAATCCTGATTTCACAAATACGTGCTGCCATCTGCTGCTGTGAATGCATCATGACAGCTGAACTTTCCCATTTTAGCATTCAAGTCTAGTTCTTAAATAAAAGACAACACCACCTTTCAGGTGTCATTTCCGGATGACATACAGAGTTACTGTATTTGAGCCAATTTCGTAAATCACAGGGATCTCAAATTCCAGAGCGGATTGAGTGCTTGGAAGTTACAAACTCCTGGAGGATAGATTTAGCCACTGACTGAGCTGCATTTCCACTGACTGAGCTGCATTTCACTTTGCTTCTGGGAATAGGAATGGCGGGGTCATTGACATCAGAATGAGCTAACAAACAAAGATTAAAAGAAAAAAAAAAAACAGGGTTCCCACTGTGGCACGAATGTGAAATTCCATCATGTTTTCCATGGCGTGATCCATCACTTACCTCAGGCCACGCTGCCTGTCCATCTCTACATAAATGCTGTTATAACAGCAAAGACAAGTGCCTTGTTGTTCTCAGTGCTTGCCATTATTTGCTTCTGTGGTGGCTGTTTGTTACATAAAGCATACAAAATATGATCTTGTCTTTCTGTAAAGTTTTATTCAAGTCATCCATGATTGGACTCAACGCTACTGTCACAAACTCCCTTTATTCAGGCCGTTAACAAAGAAGAGCAAAGAACAATTCCACTAAAAAAAGCCTCCCTCTTTTAAAAAGACTGTGCTACGGTAGTTGCTTAAAAAATGCTGCCATACGTGACAAAGAGGTAAGGACAGTTTTTTTTTTGCCATCACATAGCTTGGACTCATGTCCGTGACATGTCCCACTTTTTGAAACTCATGAACAGGTTTGTTGGGACACCTGTTGTCGTCAACAAAGGGTATCAAAACTGATCAAAAACGCCTGAATGCTGTTCACTGCTGTCAAACTTAACTGTCATTACTGATGAATGAATAACATTCAAGGTAAGCAGGAGGAATCTGCACAATGACACTAGAGATGAAGGATACAGACTTTGCAGTTACTTCCAAATTGTGTGGGTCAGCGTCCATACACTCATCAAGACACAAGTTAAGTTTCCTCATCTCCAAGTTAAAGCTGACATATGTAGACACTGAGTAGTAAGTAGTAGAGGTAATGAGTGTCAATTTAACATGTTGGTCTCATGCTCAAATAAGCAGTCGTGATGGCAATGTTTCTGGGTTGGACCTAGTAATGTTTCTGTGACAACTGTGTGTTGAAAACAGTAACACAGACCGCCAAATGCTAAAGAGAAGAGATACAACATGAAGCAATATTTCCTGAAATATTACATTTTTCAAACCAGAAAAAAACTACGCTTCGTTGCATTTAACAGAAGTTTGTTTACATACTATCTCAAGTCATCAGTCAACACTAGCCTGCCCACTCAATCTGATCTCTTTTTCTTTTCTTTCTTCAGTTCAATAATTAATCAATAATTTTGAGTGCAAACACAGAAGTGATTTATGACTGGGCTTGTGCATGTTGGGCTTCATAACGTCTTCCCATCTGCTTCCACATCGTATTTACTCAGACACCTTTAAGAACCATTATGGTTCAAATGTTGCTGACAGTTACACCTCGTTGTGTCTGCCTTCTTTTCATTAAGTGTGAGGGCTGATGTTTTCCTCAAAGAAGCACTGCTGTTTAGTTTTAGTTCTGTAAAATCATTACTTTTGTTAATCATCATTGTTAAATGTTTATTTGATGCTGTTAATCATCTTCATCATCACCTTAGTTGTGCTAACTGTATAAGTTATAATCAGACATAAATACTCACAGTATTTGGGTAGTCCTTTAAAATAGTCTCAAATCTACAGCAGCAGCAAAATTATAAAGGTGTGACAGCACCAACTGAATGGCAACTAAACACAAGTTACTTCATTATCTGTGACCCAGTCAAAGCTCTCATGTGTCACACAAAAAAGCCTCTAGGACTAAATCCTGTGATTTACCCTGAATCTAATTCAGCACACCATGACTTCTACTCAAGCATCACAAGACAGCATCAGCAGCCAATGTCATGGGGGCAGGGAAACATGCAGAAAGCAAAGGCGGGGATGAATAAATCTGCAACGGAGGAAGACACAGATCCTGTACTGACACAATAAAAGAGAGGCAATGATAGACCGTGAGAAAGAAAAGAAAGATATGAATATAAAAATGAAAAAAAAAAAAAAAAAAAAAAAGGCATCTGACTCACATGAGGGTTTACGCATAAAGGACCCGGATGCTTTTCCATCCGACGCCTCTGTGAAATCTCAGCTAAAATCACACTCTCTTTTTTTCCCCCAACCCTTTTATCTACCCCCTATCTTCTTATTTCCCTCTTTAGCCCAGCTGCATTACTCAATGGAGGGAGGCAGCAGAGGGAGAGAGAAAGGAATAGAGAGGTAGTGACACAGCCATATAGCTGGGGGGAGGGGCCGCGTGAGACTGAGGCTGGGTTGATTTGTGATTGGCTGAGTGGAGGAATGGACGAACACGCGAGCAGAATCTGACTGCAGCCACAGAGGGGCGTTCCTGTCGCACATGACAGGAATGCCCACATACATCAATTGTTTATGTAGAAACGGAGCACCCAGCAGCTAGGGGTAAGGGTAGGGGTAGGGTTAGTGAGTGTACCAATCAAAGCGGTGGGTTTTCCCATGCACTACAGGAATGCCCGGCTGCGGCTGCAATCAGGGACATTTCGCATCCGAGCATGTAGCATCCTCCCAGACAAACAGCACAGATCGTCTCGCCCAAAGACATATAAACACTGACAACGCATTGGCCGCCGGATCATACGTCAACGTGGCCACCATATTGGATAGGGCAAGACTGGCCTGTAAACAAACACAGTAAACTGGGGAGCTGCGTTTTTCTAGATAAAAAGCACTATATTGACGGATTTCATTGAGTCACTGATATCTTCAAATGTTTACGATAAATGTGGATTAGGTACTCCAGAATATAGCGGAGAGACGCTCAAAAGAGGAGTGTGTGTAGGCTTACATCAATTGAATAACTTATTTGTTGAAAAATAATTTATTGTCATAATATCTACTGCTGTCACTTATGGTCGCGTCAAAGACTCCCTTAACTGAAATTGTACTCACAGGCTAAGGTGGCTCTCTAAAATGTCTGGTCGTCTGTATGGATGGCCACCGTATGCTCTGCTAGACATGTTCGCTGTAATTTTGTTATTCTGTGCAGGTCGTGTCGGTTGCAAATGCAGCTGGTTTTCTGGACTGTTTATAATTCATGGCTTATTTTCTGTGCTTGCATTAGTAGCCAGCATTGCTGATAAACTGTGTGTTCCATATAGAGCTTGGATGAATTGATTATTAATAGCCCTGCGCTTTTTCCATTTAATATCTATTGGTTGTGTGAATATACAGTGTATGAGCCTGAAGGCTAGATGTAGGTAGTAAATGACATCTATTTTTAATTTGTTTTTCCCCTTCTTTGTTCTCTTTTTGTTTAATTTTGTGCACTCTGTTCTTTGTGCGTTGCTCAAGAGTGCTTTCTATAATTTTTCTCACATAGGATGGATTGATGAGGTTTTGTCCTGTACTTATTACTAACTCAAGTTTTACACACACATATTCCATTGTTCATTAGAGCATGAACTGGGGTGTGTCCTTATTTCAACCTTTGGCTTGTTATAGCTTTATCTTTTTACAGCCTGATGAAGCACCAAGTGAAATGTGTTGCTTATGCCACTGTAAATAAAAAAATATTGACCATATACTTTTATAGTAACCCCGATAACAAAAAACCCCTTTCTCCCCCCCCCACCCCCCCCCAAAAAAAAAAAAACAAAAAAAAAACCCCCAACAAAATTCTTCTCTCTTTTAAAAAAAAACTCCCAACCCCAGCAGCCTTCAATTGTCAGAGCATAGGGGGGGCGAATGGGAATATATCTCAATATTTTTGGGTTTTGGGATAACGATATCTGCGAACCTTTAAAATGTGATTAGAATTGTCTGAGCTTACTGTCTCCACCAACACAGATAAGCCTACACAGAGTCATTCCAGTTGAAGGGTCTCTGGTCTGCCCAGGACCCTCTCGGCACTAAATCAGACTGCAACACCAGCATGCCTTCAACTTATTGGTCAGAGCAGCCTTATTCTTCAGCCACCCTAAGTCAACCACTTTGGTCATACAAAGCTACGGTCAGACGTCAAATTATAACAAAGCCATATAAAACAATGCAGCCTACTGTGGTGTGCCACGTCTCCAATTCCCAGGAAGGTTCAATGACTCACTATTACTACGGTGCTCTGTTTATTTAGGAAGTTCAAGGGCCTACATGCTTCTGCTTTCGTCACTATACCAAAAGAGTTCAAGGTAACTTTGCTGTACTCTTTTCCCAAATTATTTTATTTCAGTAAAAAATAAAAAAAGTACAGTCAAGGACTCTAAATAGACATGTATTAAATGCATTTAACTAACTGCTGCATAATCTATTCATTCAAAACAAAAGTCACACTGGCATTTGTGCTAAAAAGTCAGCCTCAAGGGCTTTAAAAGTACAAAGTCTGTTTCCATGTCTGGAGGGGAATTCTCCCTCCTGGGGTGAGCAAGCATTCTTGTGTTTTGCCCTTAGGCGAAGGCGTTTACATTGACTTTGAAGAAAATTTGGAAGCAGCCACCTTGAACATGCTGGTTTCCATTGGGGCTGTCTTAGGAGTGTTACAGTTTAAAATATAAACGTTAGTTACAGCCGTAATCCTAACGAATGGGCAGTGGAGATGCCATACGTTGCAGCACAGACATAATCACAGCCACGTAACATCAAGTGAATATCGGCACACATATTGTATTCGACGTGAGGGAATGGCAATTTGTGCACCGCCTCAACAAGCCGGCTATGCAAATGATTGAGGACTAAGTAAACTACCCTCAGTGTCGACACAGTTGTGACATCCTGGTTCAGAAAGGACTCAGATCATAAAACACCAAACACTGACTACATATACAGGGTAGACTTACTTGTTAACCAACATATGAGATCCTAGGCTCCCAGCTATTCCATGAATTTAAAACCAAATTCCCTGTTAAGTAGCTATATATTATTCCAGTACTATTACCTTGGAGTAGGTATAGTTATCACTTCCTTTCCTTGTGCAACATTTCATTGACATCTGCTTCCCTTTACCTATAAAAGGCATGGCTTTAAGATAACAACAAAGCATCACAAACATAACCTTACATTGTTACAATCAACTGAAGCTCTATTAATGGCAGATACAAATGAAGCCATGTATATCCCTGTTGAGGAGACTAGATACTGCCATCTAATGTCCTTAATAAGGAACCACGTTGGCGGTTGCACATCTCAATATTTAGATGTGACTCTTGTCCACACCCATTCATTCAATTGCTCTAAGTAAACGACATCTGGTTATATTACACTGGATTGACTGATAATGATGTTGGTGTGGCCAGGAGTCAACTTAGCCCAACACATACTGCTTTATTGTTCAGGTAGGTAGCTAGCTAACTTTATTCAAAATGAATTCAGTGTATTTAAATATGCCTTAAGACACGTCCCTCTCTTGTTATTCAGTCACTGCAGCACAAAGGCACCGTTGAGAAGCAGGAAAAGTTAGTAAGCTAGAGGTTCAGTTCGCTACCATTTTGACCCACATAACTGTTTCAAAAGTCAAGTTTAGTTTTAGCTGCTTCTGGGAAGCACCTGAAAGCAGCACTCGGGCCAGTGAGCACGTATTGATGTATTGTTTATTGTTTTACTTTGGTGTCTCGGCTCGTTGTGTCCAAACAACCAGAGGGCGAACTCGGTCGTTACCTGCCGTTAACTAACGTTACTGCGGTCTGACTTTGGCTGTAAAGTTATGCTAGTATCAGCTAGCCCCCGCAGACAAAGCCTGGCAGGAAACCCCTCTGCTAACACCATCATACTGACATCAATCTACTGTAATAGTGCTAGTGGTTGGGACACGTTGCCCAAAACCATCCTCACATACTGAGTGTTTTCGCAGTGGCGTCGCAGTTAAAGTTAGCTAACGTTAGCTGGTTAACCCCACCTCTCACCGTTAGCCGAAGTTATCAACGCTCGTCGTTTTATTACACTGTTGGTCATTTCCGTGTCATGACAATTACCTTGAATTATCCAAAGCAGCTGTTTTCATCTCATGCTGAAACTGTCGGTGGTTTCTTCTCCCTTCTGCTTTGCGTTTCCAGCATCTGGGTACTCACACGAGGGGGGCTTGCATTATCAATTTAGGCGGATTGCGAGAACGAGACCGGATGTCAAGTGGTTTGCACCTTCACAATAAAATCCCCCCAAATGGAATAAAATGGGGAGACAAATAGGACACAAGAAATCATCTTAAAATATGGAATGATTTGAAAAATATAGAGCTAAAATATAACTTACACCCAGAAGAAAAAAAACAAGCAAGGCTGGGTTAGCTGTCCTGCAAAAAGTTAATTGATTAGCCATCGTTCCTCTCTGCCTGTCTAATGTGTAAATTATTTCTGGAAAACTACCAAACACCGGGTTTACGGTGTGGTAATTTTACTAAACACAAATTAATTTAGGAATATGCACAATGAGAGCATTAGCTTAAATAATAATTCTCCTAAAACTAGATTTTGGCTCAGGGACTTTCTTTACAACCTCATGATCAGGTAATAAATCAGGACACACCCGATGGTCCACCACATGTTAGCTGATAAAGGGCTTTACTGGTACACATGGAACCTGTTGCTTTTTGGTGTAGGGTTTATTGATGTATTTGTACTTAACTTACCTATCTACAACATGCTGCTTACATGTCAATGCACCAATAATAATAAAATAATAAAACAATATATTATATAAAATAATATAACACTGAAAGGGGCCAATCTGCACAACACGTAGCTTTAGATACTCTAATCCTGCTCATACATCTTTTTCTTCAGTAAAAGTTTAAATATCAGGCATTTAGTTAAAAAGTAGCAATTAGTACTGTAGTATTTCTACGTTTACTCATAGTTAGTGTAGCATATGAATATTTCCTACATTTGTGCCTCCAAGCTAATGAAAATCAGTCTCTTAGTGCATGCTCTAGGATTTGTGTCTTTAGGACTTTCAATTGAGGACGAGTGAGATCAGAAAAACTTTTTTCAAGTTGTCTTAAGTTTTGTCTTTGAATCTTTTTTCATGCATTTTGGCAGTGCATGTTACATACCATGGGAAACTAACTGAACTATGGATAAAACAGTAGGACTCACATGAATATAATTTCCCTGTGGAATCAGTTTGATACAACAGCATACATGAATAGTGTTTAAATAACTAATTATAATGATCCCTTCTTGAGATAATTATGCATTTGAAATATGGCAGGGTTCGTCAGGCATTTATTTTCTTAAACCCCGGTCGGAAGTGGAATTGTTTTATCTCGGCAAGTTTTATTTCGCACTTAGGACTCCGGAAACTTGGCTACCGGGCAACAACCAACAACCAACAACAACCAACAACACTGAAAACAATGGAAATATATATATATATATCCCATTATATATATATATTACACATTTGTTCAGAGCACAGTTGAGTCAGAAATGTTGTATTATAACCAGATGACCTCAGTTAAGTTAGATGTGTTTTAATATAGAGTAAATCATCCATGTACAGTCTGAACATATGAACCATGTGAGTTGGATGTATTGGGTGTAAAAACAATCCTCCCATCAGGTTACACTGATTTAAACATGAACAAAAGCCATTCATTCAAATACCCATTCCTCTTTATTGGCACGAACCCAGTCTGCCACAGAGTAACACTTACACATTGATTGACTGAGTGTTTCTCAGCAGCACCAGTGCAGAGCAGGAAACACACAGCAGTGGTGGAAGTGGCAGCGTTTTGTCTCAGCTGCAGCCCCCATAGCGGCTGATGCTATTTTATAACTGTGCTGCATTGCAGGGCTATTTACCCCACGACGATGGCTGCGGTTGCATAAGAACTGACGGCATCATGGTGGTTTGGAGGATCCCTCGGGAGAGACTTGGGTGGGATTTGCTTGAAGAAAAAACAAGAGTTAAGAATGAATGAAAAAAGTTTGTAGAAGGATTAAGGGCTGAGGACTGAAGCGGATACTACAAGAAAAGAGAGGCAGAGCGTTGACAGATTGATTGTTGGGTATGTGTGTGTAGAGCTTGAGCAGACTAGGGGTGGTTGGGTGGGGGTGGCCTCAGGGATGAGTCACAGTAAAGGAGAGAGGGAGAGAGAGAGAGAGAGAGAGAGAGAGAAAGAGAGAGAGACGCATTAGGACGTGCACAGAGACTGAAATGCACCTACTTTATCTCCGCTTTGCTCTCCTCCTCTTTCCACTCAACCCTGAAACATCACAAAAATACAATATTTTACTGTGTGTGTGTGTGTGTGTGTGTGTGTGTGTGTGTGTGTGTGTGTGCTTTTAACAGTGACGTTGGACTGGCTGGTGTTCCTGCTCACTTCCTGTAAAATGCACCTCCTGACCCTCAACATCACACACCTGCTGTTATTCGGCCAACATACACCTTTCTAACGCAGCACACTGAAGCCATGTAATATTTTTTTTATATTCTGTCATGACTATGAAATGTTATTGATGTTACAATGTATATTTATTTAACCTCATAAAAAGGTATCCACCTTGTGTTTTAATGTAAAGGTCTGGGATTATTTATTTTTTCACAGCCCTTCATAAATGGGTACATATATGGGACACTGTGTTTTCATGGTGACATTTGTGTGCACACTTATAAGTCAATACATCACTTACACCACAGTTTCTCCTGTACAGTATAAAATGACAATTGAAACAAATACTCAAGTTTGTATTGCAATAAAAACCCTGTGTGTTATGTGAGGATAAATGCTTTATTACCTGTTTTCATGCCAGATCAAATTTAATTTATTTAGCTTTATGTTATTCTGTAGTTTGCTGCTAGTTTCCTATTTGTGTGTAATGTAATCTCGAAGCAGCTGTGGAAGGACAGTGAAGGAACTGAGCCATTTTGATGCATTAAAACAGAAAATATATCCACAGGGCTCAGTGCATTGACTGGGCTGCACTCCACTGCAGTTACAGTGTCTGATTTGCACTTACTGTTTAGTGCAAAACCTCCCTGTTTGACCTGTATGGTTGTTATAAGAAATGTTAAAATGTCTTTATTAATCTATGACATACAACTGAGGGAGAGGAAAAAAAAAAGAGAACAGAACTGAATATTTGACAACTTGTGAATAAGCCCTATTGTTTTGTCTTTGTGCAGAAGCAGGATGAAGGCCACTCAGGTTATGGTGCCTCTTTTATAGTCCAGGTTGTTGTTTTTGTTACAATCCCTCATCTTACCATGCCCAACTGATGCATAGTGAAATCATATACTGCAACAGTGCCCAGCACCCTCCCCTACTGTAAAAGTGTGCAGAATACCCACAAGGCATCCTTCTTCCTCATTCTCTCTCCGTGCCCCACTCTTGCATTTTACATGTGCAGACACACACCTGAATGTTGCAGCAGGGTAGAGAATCCCCCAGTTGTAGTATTATCTTTTTGGGGTGCAGAGAGCAGCTTATCACAGCAGCATATGTGAGATAACAGCCAGGAGCAAGTACAGGGTTTCCCTGCACAACAACAACAGCAAACAAACACAGCAGATAAACAAAATCCCATCCAGACACACAGATTATTAATTGTTAACTGCTCAGTATTCTTTTATCTGCCCCCTTTTAATGTACTGTCCTTTTCTCATTCTTTGGTAACCACCTTTTAACTATGTTCCTGCTGTATTATTGAAAATGAGATAATAATGGGGGGAACTTGCAATACAAGGAAACATAGAATTTGACACAGTCTCTTGATCAAAGGGGAGCTGGAGATTTTGTTTCTTCCTCAGCATCTTATTCACTGAGATAACCACAAAGATACATCTTTTGATGGCCTCCAATGATATTAACATGTTCATTATCACATTTGATTGTCAAATGCGTCAACTAAAAAAAACTGCCATCTCAGTAATAATATCAGACTTTGAGGTGGACAGCAGCTCCACATTAAAGCACAGACTAAGCTGCTTCCTTTATCAGATTCAGATTAGATCAGATTAGAAAATAAACCTTCCTTTAGGGAACATGTGTTGAACAATACTCAACTGTACATAAGAAAGAAAGAAAGAAAGTTTACTTTTGAAGCTGTTTGGTATTTGGGTTGGAGCAATGTCATTCAGTTTGCTGGTATGAGGAAATGATGTTACACAACAAGATTTTAAGTAACCTGTTTTTCAGTGGGGAGTTTTGCTGTTGAGATGCTTCAGATGGTGTAATTTTCCAAAATTATTTAATAACACATTTAAATTATTTTATTTTTATGGTTCATGTATTAGAATGGGGGTATTTACACACACGAAACTAGGCTAAAACAAGCTAAAACACCAAGCTGATTGTGTTTCACTTCTTCATTGTCTTGTCACAGGAATGGCATCTGCATTACCACAAATTGTAGTTTTTGGTCATCAATTCCTCATTCTTTCATTTACAGAGTGGGGAGTTTAAACAGCTTCCATACCTCCATACAGAGCAAATAACTGATTTATAATCTGCAACTCAGAATATGTACGCCGTCAGTCAGGGAATTCCCTCCACCCCATATCATCAAACTGTAGTTCCATCATACCATGCAAAGATCTGCTGTAGTCAGGTGCACTCCTCCGTATTGTCCACAGAGGGGCAGCAGTGCAGCCAGAGAGCTGCTCTCCTTGCTGCAATGCAAGCCAAGGTCTCTTTCAAGGGCACACATCATATCTGCAAAGTCACATGTAAAGCCGGGAGAGGCTGTATGGGCGTTTTCAGCCGGAGCAAACAGAGTAATGCAGGGCAGGAGAAAATGCTTTTAGTCTAGACAAATTAGTTTAATAGATCTAACACTGACACAATAGTTCACACTCTGCTGTAATTGCAAATGTTTGAGGTTTTAAACTTTAAATAAGAGCAGAAATAAATGATAAGCACAGGCAAGTATAACCAAAGGGTGTTTCGGCAAGTATAACCAAAGGGTGTATCGGAAGACTGCTGACATAAAAGCCGTTCTCTTACCATCTTTGCTGGATGATTGGTGGACATTGGTGGCTGCTGTTCATTTTGTTGTAAATATAATTTTCTACCAGGGAAATGACCAAATTCTCACTGTGCTACCTTTAATTAGAATTTGTGGGCGATTAGGAATAATGATGCATCATTTTCTAAGGTAGAGAGCTGTATTGTACTGAGAATGAACAGGAGGGCCATCATAACTCTCCCACAGCCTTACCTTTTTATAGCCATCAAATATGCATGGACCCTCTGAGTGTACATATAATGTATTCAAAGATCTCCACTGCACTGGAAAGCTTGCTATCAGCAGTTTGTGTGTGTGTGTGTGTGTGTGTGTGTGTGTGTGTGTGTGTGTGTGTGTGTGTGTGTGTGTGTGTCTGTGTGTGTGTGTGCTTGTATGTGGGTGTGTGCCTCTCCAAGACAAGACACAAAACATAATCAATAAACACTGATTCATTGTCTTCTGGAAGAAGGGAGTTACAAAGGAGAGGCGGAGAGAGTCTGGTTGGGGCATGTTCTGTATCTGTCAGCAATAGTGTGTTTTTAACTAATATACATTCAAATAAATAAATAAAAAAAGGTTATTTCTAGAATAATACATTGCTATTCCTCAAAATCGTTATTGTAACCAAATAAAAGGACATCAATGAGACATGAGACAATCCATCAATGACAAAAAAAATAGAAACCTAGCCCAAAATAGCAACAAATCTCTGTATTGACTTTATTACTGTGAAATAAATAAAAAATGATCCAAGCTCTGAGATTTTATTTCTGTGAATTACTGCCCCATTAAAAAAAAATATGGCTCACAGAATACAATATATAAGTATGTTTTATGCCATTACACCCTGCCTCCTTTAGATTCCACTCTATTTGCCCGAATTAAAGGTTTTTTACTTCAGTTGGTGAAAAAGTTAACTGTAGAAAGTACACCCATATCAGATTTCTGAAACCTCTCTTCAGAAAGCTTTGAGTGACCACAACCATGTTTATGTATGTTGTAAAACAGTGCATTCATCCAACCACACTTCTTATATGTTTGCCAGCCACCGTTACTGTAAACTAAAACACGAGGAAGAATAAAAACTTGAAACATGTAAACATGTGTTTTCAACATAGGAAGAACTCAATTACTATTCTGTGCTCGTTCACCTCTCCTCTTTCATCCTATGGCAATGGACATATGGGGGGAAAAAAACACACACACACACACACACACACACACACACACACACACACATTAACACACCCTTTCTCATTGGACATAAGCCATGGGTGGTTACTGTAAGACTGCTCGGTCAGCGCAATCTTTATTACCAAAGGGATGGAAGGATTGTGCACGTGTGTGTGTGTGTGTGTGTGTGTGTGTGTGTGTGTGTGTGTGTGTGTGTGTGTGTCTGTGTGACTATAAGAGAGAAGGATTTGGGTGACTGACCCATAAAATAAAAGGATAAAAAAACGGTGGGATGACTGCACCTCATAAAGCTGCTAACTATGAACCATTGAATATTGATCACTGCACCGAGGTCTACTTCAATCAGCACACACACAAACACACACACACACACACACACACACACACACACACACACACACACACACACACACACACACACACACACACAGCCTGCAACGTAAAGCGCATTTACTTCAGAGTTACGATATAATCTTTTGTACTAATGGTGTAACAATACAGTATGTACCAGTACATATATGTAGGTACTGGGGAACAAGATGTGAAGTTGTACAATAACTTAACAATTCAGGATTATACTGAAAATGCATATTGTAGTTATTTTTTTAACTTCTGGGTACCCATTCTATTATTACAGGGTTGTACAACCTTCTGAGAAATAATCTGGACCTGTCAGTGAAGGTGGAGTGATGCGTGAATTACTTAATAAATCTTATGTGGTTAAATGACAAGCAAACTACATTGTGGGCTGTAATCTAAAGCATTACCAAGTCTCCTTCTCGCTATCATTTAAAGGCCCTGCAGCTTAATCGGTTAATGAAGACATAGATAGATAGATAGATAGATAGATAGATAGATAGATAGATAGATAGATAGATAGACAGATAGATAGATAGATAGATAGATAGATAGATAGATAGATAGATAGATAGATAGATAGATATAATTTTCTCCAAAGTTTATTGTTTTAATTAGTAATATTTGTAGCATTTTGTTTAGGAAAGCACTTTGCAGAGATATTTAACATATCATTATTATGACTCTCAGGAACATGGGTGCTAATGTGGCTAGTTTATCCTGCCAAGTTGGACAACAGAGGGTTTTCTAATTTAAGGAACACCGCTTTCAGCCAAACACTCTCAGCTATTAATTAGAATGACTTCACAGAACAGCAAACAAACACACACACACACACACACACACACACACACACACACACACACACACACACACACACACAAACACACACTCACACACACATCTCTAGCTCTTTTTAGTGCTTTCTCACTTGTTGACTCTCTCTTAGATGCTCCCATGCTCATGAGAGTGTAAGAGTGCACATACACATATACGCTCAGATGAACACACACAAACACACTCAAATCTCTCTCTCTCTCTCTCTCTCTCTCTCTCTCTCTCTCTCTCTCTCTCTCTCTCTCTCACACACACACACACACACACACACACACACACACACACACACACACGAGAAGGCACTCTAAAAGCTGGGGGTGGTGAATCTCATATCTCATGCATCACTCTCCATGCCGGCCCTTCTTCGCCTCCTTGTTTTCT